GGAGGGGGAGAAAGAGGGGAGGGGCCGGGCCCCTTGTCTCCGCGGCTTCTCTTCTCAGTCCGCCCGGGGAGGAGGAGGAGGAGCGGGGCCAGCCGCCGTTGCCGCCGCCGTCGTCCCAGCCTCGCCCAGCGCACCTGAACTCGCCACGCCGCCCTAGGCCCCCGCGCTGCGTCCCGCGCGCCCCGCGTTCCCAGCCCGCGCACAGCGCTGCCTAGGTGCCCCGGCGGGGCGCGTCCCCCGGGCCGCCTCCCGCTCTCCCGCGGCTCGCGTGGCCGCGCCTTTGTGTGCGGCGGCAGCGGCTCTTGGCTCCTCGGCTTCAGTCGCGGCGCCCCTCCAGCCCCGAGTCCCGCGCAGAGTCCCCTGGCGCCCCCGACCGGGTGCCCCCGACGGTGGATCTAGAGACTGCGAGGAGGCGGACACCGGTCCCGGCGAGCTCTAGTCCCGGCCCCCGGCCCCGGGCCCGGCTCCGACTCCGGCATGGATGTGAGGTTCTACCCGGCGGCGGCCGGGGACCCCGCCGGCCTGGACTTCGCGCAGTGCCTGGGGTACTACGGCTACAGCAAGGTGACCGGGCTGGGCCGGGGGGCGTCGGGAGGGTAGCCCCTCCCCATCCTGGCGCGCCCCACGCTCCAGCTCACCTCGTACTGCACTTTCTTTCCCTTCTTGCCTTTCTCTCCACGCCTTTCCCTTTGCGCCCTCATCTCTGTCCAACTCTCCCCCTCTTTCCTTTCTACCCATTTTCTCACCACTTCCTTTCGGTCCTTCTGCTGGCGCTCCCCTCTGCCCCTCCAGCACTCCTCTTACCCCCAACCCCCCTTTGTTGCACCAAACAAGTGAAGAACCACCCGAGGACTGAAAGAGGGGATTCGCATGGTATTCTTTGTTGTTATTAATAAACAAGAGTTCAGCCCCCCAAGGTGGGGGGGAGGGGACGACACTTGGGCCCCCGATCTCGCGGTCAGATGACCTCACCCCCTCCCAGGCTATCCTACCTCACGTACCCACCCTAGAGCTGAACCCTGGGATTGCTTAGGGAAGGAAGGGAACAAACTTCTGAGCGTCCCCTGGACCAGGAAGGGACGAAGCCGTGGGACCCCCGCAGGTGGCCTTTGCTGCTCCCTGGCTTGGGCCCTTTGTACCACGGTATGGAGGTGCCCAGTTCTTCCAGGTTAGCGCTAGCAGTTCCCCTCTTTTTTTTTTTTTTTTGCTTGGTGTGTGTGTGTGTATGTGTTAAGTTTTGCATTTCGAGAACTTTGGTGTTGAAGACCCCCACACCAGTCCCGAAGGTCACCCCACCTCACGCCCGAGGGTCACCCCACCTCCATCATCTCCTTCAACTTCGAGGAGCAGTAAATAGTTTCAGGTGTTCTAAGGTGGATTCTAGCAGGCCAGCTGGCAAATCAGAGCTGTGAGTTTGGTAGGACCTTAAGCCTTGGGCTAGGCCCATGTTCTGTATCCTTAATCCTTCAAAAAGCACCTGGAACTAACTTTGGGGAAAGCATCACCCCAGGGTGAAATTCAGAGAAAGAGCTGGGCTCTGGATGGTCTCTGTGCCTTTTGAATGTGGTTTTCTTTCCTTTTCTCGCTGCTCCTCCCTCTTTCCCTCTTCCCCCCTTTTACATCGTAGTTTGTTTATGATTGCTTGGATAACAGAGGAGGAAATAAAGGCGCCAGCTGAAAGAAAGGTGCTATAGAAAACTAATGAATAAATAACAGGAAGAGGAGGAATTGTATCTTGAGTGAGGAACACTTTGCTGTGCCCTGTTCCCGTCTATTTGTTTATACTCCATTCCCAACTCCGGTGCTGAAGTTTGTAAAAGACCATTCGGGTCTTTCAGCGCTCAGCCCCGTGTAGCTTTCACCAGCACCGCGTCTGGCACTGAAGAGACCTCCTAACAGCTATGGAACAGAGGGACTTTACTTAGTGTGTTCTAACTCTTTGGTGGTCGCAGTGGCTAAGCGTGATTTGTTAAGCATATAAAGAGAAACAAGCAAAGAAAGGCGTATCCCCTGTAGCCAGAGTTAAGGTTGAGTTTGTGTCCTCTGATTTTGGATTTGCTCAGGTTATTAAATGTTTTAAAAAGTTCCCCATGTATGCTCAGTCAGGGACTTAGGCAGCCTAATTAAGTACGTAGTGTTTCTGAGAATCCACCTAATTGTTCCAGCGGGGTGTTATTTATCTCCTTACAACTTGGTTTGTGTATATGCAAGCCTTGTCTATCTGGGCATGCTCTTATTTTTGGAAACCATTACCTTGCCTAATGTAACTACTTCTTTCTCTGATTTAAGATCAGCAACACTCGAATAACACCAAAATAGAAAGCTATTGTGCTAATCCAGTCACTGCAAAGCGTGGCAAATCTCTGTTCACTAGGATCCCAGGGGGACTTCAAGGGACCAGAGGAAATTGTGGGTGTTTTGTGCATCAGCTCTTTATTTTTTGAGAAAGGCTATTTTGAGTCCATTTAAACTCAGAACATTTATTTCAGAGAGAGTATATAAGGCTTGAAAACAGCTTATTTATTGAAATGTTGGTCAACTTCAGGAGTGAGCATGCCAGTTGGTTTGCTGTCAGATTCTCTTAATGCAACTATTTGCCTGAGATAACTTGCTTTCTTAGTAATTCAGCAATCTGGTGGTCCTAAATGCTGTGTGGAACCAGTTTATGAAAGATACAGTGCTTCATATTGGTAGCAATCCAAGTGGTGCTTATTTTAAGGAATGTTTGTATCTGTTTCTTAACGCAGTAAAAAACACTTTAAACTTAGCCACAATAATATATTTTGCTAGTCCTAATTTCAGGAGCAAAAAAACCCAATTTTATTTCCTCCGATTTTTCTTTATAGAGAGACTGCAGTACAAGAGGAAGTATTAACTTTATGAGTATAAAACAGCACGTGCTAATTAAAAGTTTATAGCATTTTGTTTCTCACAGCTAACTTGTGTGTGAAGTGGTACTATTCATTAAAGGTTTATATTGAAAACATAAATGCTAGCATACAAAGGCGTGCATTTATTTTATATGAAAATGCCTGGAATTTTTTAATCTCTCCAAGACTTTTCTTGATATGTTATCTTTCTTGTTGAGAAATAAGGTTTTCAGGAGAAAGTATGTTTTTGCACTTTCTTGTTTTAATGGCCATCTGGGAGACCTTAGAAGAAACCCAGAATCCTGGGCTTAGCAAGTCAAGAGTTAGCGCTTATCTTTAAATTTATTTACAAACCGTGAATAATAGGACTTCATTCATTTCTCTCTTTAACAAATGACCAGAGTCCTTTGTATAAATTATATGCAAGTGTATTATCTTTACAATCTGTGAGAATATGGGTCCTTTTTAAATGTCAGCACCATGAAAGTGTACTCTTGTCTATGGAGAAGGGATGAAAGAGTTTTGAGGGTTCAAAAGTCATTGCAAGTAGTAGAATAACTTCAAATAAAATATAGTCAAGATCATTAAAATCAGTTAATAATTCATGAACCAGGCACTGATGTATAAACTTGAAGCCATCTCTATTTTCTAAGGGCTAATTTCCATTTTAATTTCAAGTGGAAAATCTGTTTAAACAGTTTTTTTTACTGACGCGGCTATCAAATTAAACTAAAACCTATAGATTAAAAAGTAAGCGCTGTATATTCCTCAAGTGAATTGATGAACCACCAGCAATATAGCTGGAATTTTTCTTTCCCTGGTTTCAGTCTGTCTTTTCACCCGTAAGAAAATAATATGCAAACATACGGGTTAGCATGTAGTTTTCAGAAGTCTGCTACCCCAAAGTGAAATGATTGTGTTTAACATGGAATGAAATCACACAGTAAGTTAATTATGAACTTGTACTAGACTCTCCTTACTGGTTACTAGCTTTTTCTGTATATTCTTAGATGTCTTCCCTCCCCCTTAAAAATATGACTATTAACTAATTGCCCTTAGTCAATAGATTAGTCTTATATTTTGATTATTACGTTTTAGCCACACAGACCTTGCTTTGTGTGTTTTTGGTCACTCTGCTTAATTAAGACATTTTGGTATTTTTGCATTTACTCTACCTCATTGGGACTCTACCTTCACTAGCTTGAATGGTAAAAGGAACTGAATCAATTTGTCATTTGTCTATTTCAGACTGTGGTTCAAATTGAGAACAGTTTAAGGAAGAGATTTGATTGAAACTCTTCTAGCAAGAGAGCTAATGCTTTCATTTCTAGGGCGTGGAGCATTGCGGTGCTGAATTTTCTGAACAGATTGAGAGATTTCCATCTTCTTCCATGTCAAGTCTTCAAACAAGATATTGATGCCACTTTGTGAAGGAGAAATAAGGTTTTTATAAAGATCTAGAATCATGAACTCAAACGTCCATAGGGATAGTTAGTCAACTTATATAAAAGTAGTTTATGGTCAACTGAAGAACATGCCCCACTTAAAGGGGTGGCTTTGTTTACCCTTTTAGGTTGCCATGCCATCATTGGAGACCAGTATCTTCACATATTGTAATCATTTTGTAAAGATTTTTATGGGAAATACCCTAAATTTTAAATGTTGGCAGCAAATTAAGATATCAGTAGACTTGGTGTTGTTGTTAAGTGCTGTCGAGTCAGTTCCAACTCATAGCGACCCTGTACAGGGTTTCTGAGGAGCAGCTGGTGGGCTTGAACCACCGTTCTTGTGGTTTAAACTGACCTTATAGTCCAGTGCTTATGCAGATTGGGACCTCCCCAAACAGGCTTGTGCACTCCTGTTTGGCAGCTTTTGTCTTAGACAAATTCATATGCAGATGAGGATCTAAAAATAGTCTTTGAATAGTTCTTTTATGGCTTATGCTCATTTATGGTTTTTATGGACAGTTTGATTCATGCATGGATAGTTTAGTTGACTGAGTGGAGAAAGTGGAGAGCCCAACTATTTTAAATACACCTCTAATCTGATCGTTGAGACTCCTGGTATGGCGCTGTAGGATCAGCCCTAGACTGTGAACCACAAGGTTGGTGGTTCAAACCCACCAGCTGCTTCTTGGAAACCCAGGATCGCTATGAGTCGGAACCAAGCCTATGGCACTTAACAACAACAACAATCTGATAATTGGGATTCTGTCATTTGTTTTATATTCCAAGTCAGTCAGTGGAGATGGTTCTAGATTACCCAGTATTGTTGAATTGGTTCCAATTCATAGCCACCCAGAGTAGAATTGCTCTATGGGGTTTCCAAGACTCTAAATCTTTGCTGGGAACAAGTAGCCTTGTCTTTCTTCTGCAGTAGCAGCCCAGTGATTAACCCACTATGCTAATAAGGCTCCGTGTTTCGCTTCAAGAAAATGCAGCCTATAGACAGCATTTGACCCACTGCTTGTTCTTATATGGGCTGCTCACTAAGAATGTATTTACCATTAAATGGTTGAGAAAAATTAAAATAGTATAATTTTGTCTAAAAATTTTATGAAATTAAAAATTTAGGGTCCATAAATAGAGTTTTATTAGAGCCCAGCCATGTATTTTTCAACGTATTGTTTACGACAGCTCTTACCTGTATTTTACCTACAGAATTGAATAGTTGTGACAAAGAGCATATGGCCCA